TACAGAACAAATAGTTTCTCATTAAACAGTCAGCACACATATTGTTTTATGACATTGGTTAACAACCCCACGACATGTCAACACTCTCCCTTCTCAACCTTGGAGGACCTTTTTTTTTTTGTGAAAATATACATAGCCAAAGATACACCATTTCAAAAATTTCTATGTGTAGAAATGTGACATTGATTACATTCTTCTAGTTGTGCTGCTGTTCTCCCTATCCTTTTCCAAATTATTCCATCACCTTTGTCTTTACCTCACTGTCCCCTAGCCTTCCCATCAAACCTTTTGAGTTGCTGTTGTCAATTTGATCTCACGTAGATAATTCTTTTTTTTTTTTTTACTTTAGATGAAGGTTTATAGAACAAAATAGTTTCTCATTAAACAGTTAGTACACATATTGCCCTATGACAATGGTTAACAACCCCATGACATGTCAACACTGCCATTTCTCAAACTTGGGTTCCCTATCACCAGCTTTCATATCCCCTCCTGCTTTCTAGTCCTTGTCCCCGGATTGCTGTGCCTCATTAGTCCCGTTTTGTTTTATGGGGCTGTCCAATCCCCGGCTGAACGGTGAACCTCGGGAGTGACTTCACCACTGAACTAAAAGGGTGTCCGGGGGCCATACTCTTGCATCCACCATTTGTTGAGTGAGCACTTCTAGTGATTTTTGAAATATCTCAATTGGTATTCCGTGAGTTCCTAGAGCCTTATTTTCCACTAATGCCTTCAGTGCAGCTTGGACTTCTTCCTTCGCTACCATCGGTTCTTGATCAAATGGTTGAACATTGACCAATTCTTTCTGGTACAGTGACTGTGTGTATTCCTTTCATCTTCTTTTGATGCTTCCTGCATCATTCAATATTTTGCCCATAGAAACCTTTGATATTACAACTTGAGGCTTGAATTTTTTCTTCAGTTGTTTTAGCTTGAGAAATGCTGACCGTGTTCTTCCCTTTTGGTTTTCTAACCAAAATAATCTTTGCACATGTCATAATAATACTTTACTTTGTCTTCTCAATCTGCCCTTTGAAATCTTCTGTTCAGCTCTTTTACGTGGTCATTTCTTCCTTTTGTTTTAGCTGCTCTACCCTCAAGAGCAAGTTTCAGAGTCTCTTCTGACTTCCATTTTGGTCTTTTCTTTCTTTTCCTGTCTTTTAATGACCGCTTGCTTTCTTCATGTATGATGTCCTTGATGTCATGCCACAACTTGTCTGGTCTTCAGTCATTAGTGTTCACTGCGTCGATTCTATTCGTGAGATGGTCTCTAAATTCTGGTGGGATATACTCAAGTTTGTACTTTGGCTCTCATGTACTTGTTTTAATTTTCTTCAGTTTCAGCTTGAATTTACATATAAGCAGTTGATGGTCTGTTCTGTAGTCTGTCCCTGGCCTTGTTCTGACTGACGATATTGAGCTTCTCCATGATCTCTTTCCACAGATATAGTTGATTTAATTCCTGTGTATTCCATCTGATGAGATCCATGTGTATAGTCGCTGTTTATGTTGTTGAATGAATGTATTTGCAAAGAATAAGTTGTTGGTCTTGCAAAATTCTATCATGCCTTCTCCGGCATGGTTTCTATCATCAAGGCCATATTTTCAAACTACCTATCCTTCTTCTTTGTTTCCAGCTTTCACATTCTAATCACTAGTAATTATCAATGCATCTTGATTGCATGTTTGATTAATTTCAGACTGCAGAAGCTGGTAAAAATCTTCAATTTCTTCATCTTTGACATTAGTGTTTGTGTGTAAATTTGAATAGTAGTCATATTAATTGGTCTTCCTTATAGGTGTATGGATATTATCCTATCACTGACAGCGTTGTACTTCAGGATAGATCTTGAAGTGTTCTTTTTGATGATAAATCTGAAGCCATTCCTCTTTAATTTGTCATTTCCAGCATAGTAGACCAAATGATTGTCCACAATTCAGAATGGCCAATAGCAGTCAATTTCAGCTCACTCGTGCGTAGGATATTGATCTTTATGTGTTCCATTTCATTTTTGACAACTTCTGATTTTCCTAGGTTTAAACTTTATAAATTCCACATTCTTATTAGTAATAGATGTTTACAGTTATTTCTTCTCATTTTGAGTCATGCCACATCAGCAAATGAAGCTCCCAAAAGCTTGACTCCATCCACATCATTAAGGTCGATTCTACTTTGAGGAGGCAGCTCTTCCCCAGTCATGTTTTGAGTGCCTTCCAACCTGACGGGCTCATCCTCCGGCACTAAACTAAAGCAGACAGTGTTCTGCCACTATTCATAAGGTTTTCACTGGCCAGTTTTTTTTTAGAAGTAGACCACCAGGTCCTTCTTCCTGGTCTGTCTTAGCCCTGCTGAAACCTGTCCACCATGGGTGACCCTGCTGGTATTTGAAATACCGGTGGCATAGCTTCCAGCATCATAGCACCACTCAAGCCACCACAGCACAACAGACTGACAGACATTTCAAGTTATAAATGACTAAATGTCCCCCAGGAGAGAAATATATTTATTTGAGATGTCAGAGAAAGGAGACATTGCTTCTGATCCAAGGATTGGAGATATCTTTGTAAATGCCCAGAAGAGTAATGACCAGCCCCTCTATCTGATGGAAGGGAATTCCATATAGAACAATCCATGTGAGCAAAGACACAAAAACATGAAAGCACATAGAAGTGCAGTTTTGTTTTTTCTCAAAGTTCTGCAGAGGTCCTGGGACAGAGAAAGGAGATTGGGGGTGATGTCAGGCCATCCTCTGCTTCTTCAGCCAGTGCAACTTACCTTTATCTTCATCTCTTTTATGTATTAGTCTTTTGGGTAAAATTTCATTTGAAGAAGAGACTATGTGCTTAATTTAGAGTTTATAAAGTGCTGCATCATACCAAACCCACTGCTGTCGAGTCGATTCCATCTCATAGAGATCCTACTGGATAGAGTAGAACTGCCCCATAGTGTTTCCAAGGAGCAGCTGGTGGATTTGAACTGCCAGCATTTTGGTTAGCAGCTGTAGCTCTTAACTACTGTGCCACCAGGGTATGTAAATGAAACTACTTTGCTCAAGTATATTTAAAGCATTCAGATAAACAGGGCATGAAGGCTTATGGCACAAAGGATGTGGCGTCAGTAAGTTAGCTGTTTGGGGATAAAAATCAATCTAAGCCTTCTCCTTGCAAGATACAGCAAAATGATTTCCATGTAAATGAAATAGATAAATGCAAAAAAGAGATTTGAATTTGATCTCTGATTGGACAAGTCTAGTCTTTCTAATTTTAAAAGCAGAGGAAGTAATCACAAATAAGGAATATAAAATGATTAGACTACCTAAACGTATAAAACTTGTACGCTTTAATAAAAATACAAAAAATAAAACTAAGAAACAAACAATAAACTTAGGAAGATACCTGCAAAACATGTGGCGTAAGTTAATTTATGTTGAGTGAGTAAGATTGAAAACTAGAAAAATAGGGCAAGGACATGAACGGACTCTTCACAAAAGAGAAAATATGAATGACAAGTAGACTAATAAAAGCATTTTTATGCCCACTAATTAAGTATATGCTAATTTAAACACAAGAGCATTTTCTGCCTATCAGCTTAGCAGGGAAGAAAACTGTGCTGATGAGCAGAGGGGAGCAGATGCAGCAGGAACGTGGTAACTTTCCTCCACCACTGGGTGGAGTATAAATGGGAGCAGCCTTCTGAGGTGGTGTGGGAGGCAAGGTCAGTTAGTTGTTGTGTACCAGAAAGCTTTTGTAAAGGTTCATATTAGTGCAACCCTATAATTCTAGTTGGAAATGCTGGTGGCGTAGTGGTTAAGAGCTACGGCTGCTAACCAAAAAGGTCAGCAATTTGAATCCACCAGGAGCTCCTTGGAAACCCTAGGGGACAGTTCTACTCTGTCCTGTAGGGTCGTTGTGAGTCAGAATCGACACAACGAGTTTGGTTTTTGGTTTTATAATTCTACTTACAAGAATTTAACATGGGCATGAATTATGAATCTAAAACGTGGATAGATTTATAAAAAAGTTGTTTATTGAAGCAATATTCATAATAATGGAAAATGGAAGCAACCTGTCTCTCCAGCATTGTGTTTGTGATGTGACAATTGAGTAATTTTTTGGTGGCTTTGGTACAATGGATGATTATGCAGAGTTTCTAGCCATCTGGGAAAATGTTGATGATGCATATACTGAAAATCAGGCAGGATGTAAAATTGAATGTATATAATTATTTCAGTGACAGAATAAAAATGCATGAAAAATGGGATGAAATAGGCCAATTTGGTTTTAAAATAAAAAAAAAGAGATTGTCTCTGGGAGGTGAAATTGTACATGAGTTTTTTTTTTTTTTTTCCTTCTTTTCTATTCTTTCCAAATTACATAATAAGCAGGTATTACTTTTGTCATTAGTTAGAAATAGATAACCAAATATAAAATATAGGAGAGAGTAACTAAATTTAAAACTAAATTAAATCCAAGATCTGCTTCTTGTAAATTAAAACGTGTGTATATGTGGATACATGTGTCTGTACATGTGTACACGTGTGTGTGTATCATATTCTTTAACACGACCTAATAAATTATAGTTGGAATAAAAGAGATAGTAAGAAATGGAGTTTAAAAGAACATTCTTTGTTGTCACAGGCAACAATTCTCTGTTAAACTGTTGTTTAGAACTGTCTATAGAACCTGCATCTCTTTTCTTCTTTTTGCTGAAGTAACCTTTTTAGACCTATTTGATTCTCCAAAGCATAAGATTACTTTTTTTTAAATCTCCTTTTGCAGTAGCATTTCTTTATGGAATGGCAAAAAGTGTGTTTTGATGTTATTATTTTTTGTTTTGGTTTTTGATTGTTGCTGTTTTTGGCTCATAGTGGGGACCAGTTGTAGTCAGGCAGAAGTGGAGCATTTTTTATATCCCCAGGCAATTTAAAATATGGTACATTACATAATTCTGTTCTTTGGATCCTATCAGTTTACTAATTCCTTTACCTATGCAGGCCTGCAGTCTGACCTGATTTTGAACTTTTCAGGCCCAGGGTTAATCTACGAGAACCTTCCATCTGGGGGCTTTCTTGATGGTAGGATGTATTGGTATAGCTCTGACAGCTGGTCCTTAGAACACCTGTTCAGAGCACACACTCCCACCCACCAAGTGGCAGTTTTCTGAATCTTTTATTAATACCAATAGAATTATAGAGGGAAGAGAGAGAAAGAGAGACAAGAACAGACTAACAGATTTTCAAACATATTGACTTTTCTGAGTTGTGTAAAAATATCCATCATAGTACAGTGATTCCCAGATAATCTTAGTGTTAATATAAGGCAGTAAGAAATTTTAGTTCGCTGATGTTGACAACCAAAAACCATTATTTCTAGAGGAAATAATAGCCCCTGGCAGAATAACTTGTTACCATAGGAACACTGTTCTTCTCATTTTGCTCCTTAGAAAAAGATTATATGTATTTGTCTTTGAGTTTAAAAATGTCTGTCCACCAGGCAGTCTGAGGCAAAGTTGCTAATCCACTTCTTCCCCCTTTTGCCTTTTGCCTTCCCCCTTTTGCCTTTTACCTGAGTCTTTCTTGACCACGATGAATAACCACTGTGATGTTCTGTTCTTAATGTATTCTTTGAAAAGCATCAGTTCCACATTCTATGAACAGTACTGCACTTGGAAGAATCATAGTGAGTTACCCTTTTCAAACTTGTATTTTTGTTGAAGAGTTAAGAAATTTTTGCCTTCCAAATGGGGGATTTCCATATGAAATCAGAGGCAGCTCCATCCACTGTATTGCACTTTGGGACAAATAAATACAATCTAAAAATCTCTCTCTGTTTACTCTCTTTACCTACCTTGTGAGCTCCTACTAATTCTTCAAACCCAGATTTTATGTCACCTTCTCTGAGAAGCCTACTCTAGTCATCACAGGCCAAAGGAAATATTCCTCCCTCTGTGTTTCTATGGGGGGTCAGTGGTGGTTCAGTGGTAGAATTCTTGCCTTCCATGCAGGAGACCTAGGTTCGATTTCCGACCAATGAACCTCTTGTGCAGCCACTACCCATCTGTCAGTGAGGGTTGGCTTGCTGCTATAATGCTAAACAGGTTTCAGTGGAGCTTCCAGACTAAGACAAACTAGAAAGAAAGGCCTGGTAATCTACTTCTAAAAAATCAATGAAAAATCAATGACAACCCTATGGATCTCAACAGTCCAATCCTCAACCGATCATAGAGATGGCAGCATTTCATTCCATTGTGCATGGGGCTGCCATGAGGCTGCCGTGAGCCAAGGGCCCACTGGACACAGCTCACAACAACATACCACTATGCTTGTTACGCTCCTGCCCACCACTTTCCTCAACCTGGAAAACTCCTACTTATTCATAGACGCCCAGTTCAAATTTTCTTTCTTTCTTAATTCTTTACTGTGTATAAGTAATCTGCTTTTCAAACATTCAAACACTTTGTATTTACTTCTGTTTTAGTATAAATTATTGTGTTATAAATGCTTGTTTCAAAGAATACCTGCTACATAGTAGGTGTTTAACAATTATTTGTTAAATAAATTAATTTCTCCAAAGAAAGCCCATTTGTTTTCTCTGAATATTTAAAATGGTATATCCCTTTGTTGAATCATATTTCTACAATAAAAAAAACTAATGTGTACATTTGAACCCTGTATTAATTTTATTTTAATAGATAAGTAAACTTTGATCAGAAGCTTAATTATGGTAAACATTGCTAGGAGTGTGAGATGTGACACCTGCCTTCACGTCGATCATAATATAGATGTTTGATATGAGCATAGAAAATGTCATCAAAAATTATCTCAAAATATTTAATTTCACAGCCAAAGATGGTTTTATAGGACTTGGAGAGCATTTCAGAGAAAATGATAAACTGAAGTCAAGATTTGGAAAGGCTGGGAATAACCTGGAGAAATCACCTTAGAAATAAAAAGATCAATTTTGAAAAGGAGATTCCTGAAGTATGGTAGATTATCATTTGTTTGCACTGGTTATATCAGAGGTCTCTGCAAAATGCCTTTTTAGACTCTCTCCTCATCCACTTTGCCAAGGCCTGTAATAGAAATTTTATATTTTTAGTATATAGGCCATTTCCTTCATTAACTAGTTGATAAATAAGAATGAATGCTTGTAAAACAGTAACATTTACTAACTCATTTATTTACTGGTTATTTTGATTTTTTTTTTCTTCTTACAGAAAAATCTGTGACCCAGGCCTTACCGCTTTTGAACCTGAAGCATTGGGTAATTTAGTGGAAGGGATGGACTTTCATCGATTCTACTTTGAAAATGGTACTTTTATTCTAAATTGAGTAAAATACCTTTTCCAACTTCTCTGAATTTCTCCCAAATTTGCGGATCCTTTGGCTCTTTTCTACAATGAAATTTTTTATCTTAGCCCAGCATTTTACACAATAATTTTTTTGTTTTTTTTGGTTGTTTTTTGTATTTGAAACCAAAAAAAAAATGAAAGGCTTAAATTTTTTCTGCCTTTTAGGAAATATCTCTTACTTTGCATAAAAAGTAATGTTGATTGACTATGCCCCATTTATGTTCCAGTGAATTCTATGTTATAAGCTACAAAACGAGTTACCAAAAATGTAACTGTTTCATAAAACTTAGTGTACGAAAAAAATAAAAGAAACCACAGCATGCCAGAATATTTAACAGAGACAAGTGCTTTCAAGCATATTTGGTGCTTATTTTCAAAGTAAAATGGAAATGGAAATGAGTAATCAGGTATATATGTCAGTTCAAATTATATGAATTTTAGGGGGCTCAGAGGAAAGAGCCACATTTCAAGAAAATGACAAAAGAAACCTCTTCCTGCCGAAATCCTCCAGGTCATCACGAAAAGTGTAAACCAGCAACTCCCTTTATACCTTCTTTTTCTTACTGCACCTAAAAGCATTAAGCACTGTGTTGCTACTACATGATACACAGAGTGAATTCACTCTTCTTGTAATGAGATTTCAGTGAGTTAAAGAGGAATAACAGCAATATTGTCATGATCAGGCTCACTTTCAATAAAGATAAGCCTCAGCAAGAATGTCTGCCTTGCTGTGGATTTGTAAGTTAGGACATACTTAATGAATTACCTTTTCCTATATTCACTAGGCATTGGCAAACAAACAAACAAAAGGAATTTTGTGATAAATTGGCCTTAGCAAAGCTTCAGTAAATATTCTCATAGTCTCTGTAATCCCAGCACTCTGACTGACGGCACATCATGTTCTTTTCTCCAGCTGGCTCACAGCTGACACCATCTTGTCCCTAGCAAAAGAATTAATTAACCCATTAATATTTTTACCTACTTTAACATAACACCATACATCATTACTTTCCTAACTACATATTCTTTCTACTGGGGTAGTCTTTTTTTGTATGACTATGGCACTAGGTAATATGAATAGATCTTTTCTGAGAAAAGGGTACATGTTTGGATAACAACTAAACCAGTCCAACCTGTTCTAGCAGTCCAAGAGAGAAGCGTCATCAATAAATAATCTGCATTAAATTGTCAAATCTTGGTTATTCAATAATTAGAATGAGTAGCTACTGTCAAAACACCCGTGGCTAGAACCTAGTGAGGGTTAATCAGTCAAAGAAAAAGGGTAGAGAATCAGGCTATATGGCCAGTACCAGCTTTTGGGGTTTTACTGTGTGGCAGCAACTGGACTCTCATGGAATGGACTCTGATTTGTTAAGGAGGCACAGAATGAGGCTCAGAAACAAACTCATGCTACGGCCAGCTTTTTTTGGAGACAATGACCTCCATGCTTGATACAATAAAACCTGTGAAAGCTAGGACCTGTGACAGGTGGACACCTGTCAGAGAAAGAAAACTCTAATATTTCCACTAAAAGGAGTGATAGAAAAGGGGTAAGACTGCACCCTGTCAAAGGAAGAAACCTTGTGAGACCTGGAAAAACAAAGCAGTCCCTTCAAGTTCCGGCTCTCACAGTTTTCACTATATTTGATGTATTTCTCTTGTCCCATATACTTCACCAACCAACAAACAAGACCACAGGATATCCTGTCAAGTGCCCCAGTGGTACATCCTTGAGAAAGACAGGGCTGCATGCACCTGGGCCAGGCCTTCTCCACTGCTACTCGTATTATGGCTTCTGTTTCTAACCACTGCCCATCGTAGATAAATACATCTCTCCAGTTTTTTCCCCAACCAATGAAAGTTTCCAGAGTGGCATATAAATTGCCTACAAATGGAAACAGAGAAAATAAAGACTGTATCCATTCTTGCTCTTCTTCTTATCCTTTATACTTTACACAGTACCTAGTATGAAGATAGTACAAATAATGAGTAGTTGAATTGAATGAATAACATCACATTCGTTGGTCCCAACTAGTTATTCTGTCTTGTTTTACTTTATTGCATAGTAACTAAATTTTTCTTTTCATGTTGTTCTCTTTCAGCTTTGTCCAAAAGCCAGAAACCAATCCACACTATTATCCTGAACCCCCATGTGCATCTGGTGGGCGACGATGCTGCCTGCATAGCTTACATTAGGCTCACACAGTACATGGATGGTAGCGGAATGCCAAAGACAATGCAGTCAGAAGAGACTCGCGTCTGGCACCGTCGGGATGGAAAGTGGCAGAATGTTCATTTTCATCGCTCGGGGTCGCCAACAGTACCCATCAAGTAAATATTCCCAGGCTGTCAGCTTCTTTGTTAATATACCCATGGTCAGCTCCTTCTACTTATTCCATTGTTAATAGCATGACATATGTTATTTAATGCTGGTGGTCAGTTACATTGGTGGGAATAAATGCCTTGGTAAACAGTCTACAATTCTCTGGAAAGATTAATCAGACTAGGCATTTGTGAGTTGAAATTTGGCATAGAGCAGTCTGCAAAAGTTTTAGATGGGAACTAGAGGATACTCTATCAAGCTGATTTCTGTTAGGGTTAACTTAGGAGGATTCATGTAATCCGGCAAAATATTTGTGACTTTATTGTCACTGTTGGCAAAGGAAAGGAATGTGGCAGGAAAGACTAGAGGGGAGTTTCTAAAATGGCCAATAAAATACTAGGAGCTTCATTTTATAGATTATCTATTGAGGCTCAAGTACAGATATTAGGAAAAATTTATAAAAGACAGCATTTAAAAAGCAAATATCCAGTATTTCAGTGTCTTTTACACTACACCACTCTACCTCAGATGTTGTGTTTGTTCTCCCAGTCAGTAATTAGACAGATATTTGTTACACATCTCCTAGATGCCTAACCTATGCCAAATACAGTGTGAGATAAAAGGCTTGCCCTCAAGAAACATACATTCTCATCTGGAAAGCATCTAATCACCAATACCCAACAAAAAAAAATCTATATAGTAAAATTTATAATCAACTTCAGAGTAGAATGGAATGAATTACAAATGTAGCAAACTGTTGGAAGTACCCTTCGTGGAGAAGGTAGAGGAATTTTGGACAAGCTCTTAAATGATGAGTGGAATTTGGAGAGAGAAAAAACAAAGGGAAGATAGTCCAAGCACAAGGAGCATCATGAAGAAAAGTATGATGTCAGGACTTTAGTATGATAGAAGACTATGAATAAGGACAGCTGGCTCCAACTGGAAGAAAGGAAATAATGAGAAATAAGGTTGCATCAAGTAAAAGTGGGGTCACATGAAAACAAGAATGAGAGTTGAGACTCAGCTGGTAGAAGTCTGGCCCATTCCAGACAGTTGATTTCATTCCAGATTCTCTCACCAAGGAACACGTGTTAAATTTTGGGGTGGTAGGACAGGAGTCAAGCTTATAACAATGGCTGTGTAATTTAGAGAAAGAAACAAAGGATATGCAAATAATGAAGACATTCATTTGTGTGACTGTGTATTATTGTTGTTTTTGTTTTTTTACCCCAAAGACGTACAACACAAATTACCAGTTAACACAGAAGGAATTACATTCATATACTGCTAGAGAGTTAGGTTTTTCTATAATTCCCTGAAGTGTTTATGGACTAGAGCCTATTTAAGAAAACTTCATTTTATGCCAGGTGGCTCAAATGGGGCTTCTCTTAATAGGCCATCCTGTATTCCAAATGGGAAGGAAAACTTCTCAGGAAGCACCGCTTTGTGGCAAAACATCTAAGACCTGAAAACCATTCTCACATGGGTCTTGTAAGTAGCAACCAGCTCCGATACTTTGTGATTGGAGCTAATGACTGAAAGGCTGCATGGCTGTTTTCCATTTGAGAAGATTTTCTCTTGCATTATATTCATTGAAAACCATTCAAGGTCTTCAAAAATTCATAGCAATTATGCATGAGCTCTTGAGTCTAACATTCAGCCCCTTTTTGTAGCGTAATCTTTATTTTAAAGGTAATGAGCACTGAGAAGATCCTTTCTTTAATATATGGATGTGTCGTTTTAGAATATCCTGGAGTTCTGGCATCAAAAGTCAATTATGTCTGGGTCAATTCAGACAACTCTCAATTATCCATGCCTAATTTATATTAAGCTTTAGTATTGTTTGATTTCTTACTGTTTTTCAAGATATTGCAATTCCTGTTACTTGATTGGCTAAGGTTAATATGCAAATTAATTTGCTGTACTTGACTGACTATAATGGTATTTCACCATGAGGACAGGTCACAGGAGAAAGTCGAGCTGAAACTTAAAACTCACAAAGTGGGTAATTCCAGAGGATAATTGAAAGTTGACTGTAATTTAAATTCATGCCTGCGTTGTTGTTTTTCAAGATTTGTTTCTTAAAGTTGGATTAAAGGGATTCAGGTATGTGTGTGGTGCTATTATAAATATTTTCCCCATTCAAAGCACCGAACCTTGTCAGAGCTTTTAGGAAATAATGCTCCCGGCTGTTCGTTTAAAGAGGCCTCCAGTTAAATAAGAATAATTGTATTTTCCCTTCCTTTGAGGCCATACCACTTGATTCCGACTCATAGCAGCCCTATCCCTTATTAAATTGGTTTCTAGGTTTGATTTCCCAAAGAGTTGAAGAATAATGACAAAAGCTAATAAGGATGGACTTAAATTTTGAGTCTACTTCAACTATGAATAACAATATTCAGTTATTAATTTATCTAGTAAATACAAATGCTTAAAAGGTATATTTAGATTTAATAATGTGATGGAAGCCTGGGTCACTGTCTCTTATTTGTAACTTAGCTTTGTGTGAACAAATTGACAGATAATATTGGTTTTCCAGTTTAATTTTGTGTATTTTCTCTTAGTGATTGCAAGATCTCTTATATGTAGTATTTTCAATCTATTATTTAGCTAAGTTATAAAATTGGAGCCTATTCACAACTATGGCAAAGCCATTTGATGACCTTTTGTAAAACACTATAATTTATTTCTCACTCCCCCTTTTTTCCTTTCAGCTAACTATCAGCAGTGCCACTTCTGCATTCTCTGTTTTCAAGGCACCTGGATGGTAACCCTGGGCCGTCCTCTCCTCCTCTTCATGCATGTTTCTGAGTGCATGAAGTTGTGAAGGTCCTACATGTAATGCATATGCGATGCATCATCTTGTCATATATTCCTTCCTATTCATTGTTTACACCTCAGCTATGGAGATGTTCCATGTAAACTTAAATTACTGTTGGCAAACAATAGGGGGGAGGTCAGACACACATACAAATTCCACAATATTCCAAGTACAACCTGTTCATCAAGTTTCCCTGTTTATGCCAAGATTTAACAGACTTCAACATTATTGTTCTCTAAATGACGGTTTGTAAGAGAAATGTAAATTTTTTAGAACTCTTTGCTGTTAATCTGTTTTGGCTTGTTTGTGTAAAAAAAAAAAAAAGGCAAAAAAAAATCTTCAGTTTCCTGGTATGATCCTGGTTGAAATAGATGATTTTTCACTGAAAACCTTGTTGCTGTTTAACAATTAAAATGGGTTGGTATGTGAACAGAACCACTGACAAGTGTGGAAGCAAGAATCAGTCGGTTTGGTAACACACCTAAAGCCATTTAGTTTTTGATCAAACTGTGTAAACTGGAAACTTTCACATCATTTACTAGTTTGATCATTTTAGGATATACTCACACTGTTCTGGTGAGTTCGCTGAATTGAATTTTTGGTTCCTTTCTCAAATCTGCTGTTTTCTTCATTTTATCCTATTTCTTTGTTCCTTTTGTTTCATTTTTTATTTTTCTTTATCTTTTTTCCCTTTTATTTGGCTAGTAGTGTTGGAGCCCTTGTGGTGCAGTGGTTAAGAGCTTGGCTCCTAACCAAAAGGACAGCAGTTACAATCCACCACCCACTCCTTGGAAACCCTGTAAGATGCAGTTCTCCTCTGTCTTATATGCTCACTATGAGTCGGAATCGACTTGACGGCAACAGGTTTGGTTTTTTGGGTTTAGTGTGTGAGAAAAAAGTAAAAGTAACATTTGCATAACAAAGGCACAATAAAAATCGAGGTCTTCTGGAGGTAGCTAAACTAGCACTTTAAATCACTTTCAGGGCCCACAAAAATGTTGTCAAGAAGATTTGAAAGGTTTTTAATTCCGCTTAGGCTCTTGTTTGGACTTAGGTATCTTCTGTTGGAAGTATTAAAATTGTTTAAAACTTATGATAAAAGCAAGTAAGTTCCTACCTGTAACTGCAGTATGTCTTATTGATTGGGGCAATTGCCAGGAGAATACCAGATTGATAGCAGATCAAAGTTTTGTGCAGATGCACTTATTTCCACCTGCTGGCCACCTTGTCACCATCACTGGCTAGTTTTCAAAGGTTAGAGAAGCTTGAGAATGTTTTCCATTCTCATAAGTGTTTTGAACTTCTTCTTTGTGACTTGTGCTTTTTCAGCTTCTCTCTTGTGTCAGAAGGACAGAAGATAGGATTTTCGAGTTTCAAACAAAAAGGAAAGGAAAATATCCCAGGTTTTCCTTGTGATTCTCATTTCTCCTTTGTTTACTTGACCCCTCTGAGGCTTTTTCTCTTCTCTGAGATGCTTTCTAGTGCACGGTATCGTTATCAGCATTATTTTCATGATAGTCATTCATAATCCTCAGAAGCCCATTTTTAAAGCAGAAGCAAAAAACAATAACAAAACAAAACAAAAAAAAGACCCCTCCCTCTTTTCTCTCATTTCACCTTTCTGTGATTACTAATCACCTTAGATATTGTTGCTAGTGGATGTATGGTAGATGGATTGAAGCTTTTCTGATAATTATTATACGATTTAAAACAATATATATTTAAACTAAATATATACAGTAAATGTGTTGAGCCATGTTAACCTGCCAATAAGATCTGTGAAAAAGCAATGGCCTCATTTTTTTCCCTTTTTAATTTCTTTTACCTTTCTGTAAAGCAGCTATATGTGGCATACATGTATTTAATTAAAAAAAAAAAAAAGAAAAAGATGTAGAATCATTTGGGGTTTTTGTTTTGTTTTGTTTTTTACACTTTTAACTTAGCATGTGGTGTTGAAGTAATACCGTAGATCAAGTTTGTCTTCCACACTAAGATGTGAAGAAGTTGTGATTTTTTTTTCTCCACCACAATCGAATTATACATTTATTATCTTCTATCATTTTAAAACACTGCAGTTTACCATGGGACACTGTATATATTTCTTGCCATAATGGTAAATGACTGATTGATATATTTAAGAGTTAATAAATTTGTGATTTCTGCTGACAATGTGTCCATCTTTATTTCCTAAGAAAGGGTACTGTACTTTATGCATGCCTGGTACTGGCCAAAGCCAAGGGCAACATGTCCTAACCTGGTCTAATTTAGTGCATGACAGTTTACCTTTCATAGAGAGATCAAATTATTGAACTGTGCTTTCTTTTTAGAATGTACTTGGTGATAGTGGCAAGTTGTAAGAGAACTTTATGCAGAAAACAAGTTTCTCCTGGGAAAATTTTGCTTACAACAAAGTAGATAAAAACAATTAGGAGTCCTAAAAGCATCTAAACATGTGCCCTCCAGTCCGTCCTCACACAGCAGCTGGGATGTTCCCTTTTTAACCCCGATCTGGCTATATAACATTTCAGTGGCATCATCTCCAGGATACAGGCAAACACATCACCTTCTTCCAGTCCCCAGCTTGAACTTGAGTGTACAGAAGCACTCAACTTCTTGCGGTTTGTTAAATGTACCACACTTGCTCATACATCTGTTCATGCTGTTGATGTTTCTTACATAGAATAGTCTTCCCTTAGTTGTTCACCCTAATTGTTACTCATTTTTCTTAAGCTTCAGTTCAGAGTGTCATCCTCTCCTGCACACCTTTTTCCCCAGCCACACCTAGGCTTAGCCCCCCTCCTCAGTCCTCGTGCACTGGTGTATGCTTCACTCTCTCACCAACCATGTTGTTTTGAAAATATATCTTTGTTGTGTCTCCTCTACTGGACTACAGTGTCTTCATAGGCAAGAACTGTATATCCGCTTTTGTGTCCCTAAAGCCAGACTGGCCAGAGAGAAGTTGTTAGTAAATAGATGTGGAACTGTGGTCAGACCACGAATGAGAGCCTCAAAGTGTAATCATAATCCCAGATTTAAGATTTGGCTCTGTCGCTGTTGTCTTTGACACACTGAGCAGTTTGCCTCCTCCCTCTGAAGCTCAGTTTCCTTATTTGTAAAATGAGAATGAACATACCAACTAAATAAGGGTATCGTGAGGATTAGAGATAATGGCTACAGAGTGCCTAGAATAATATTTGGTAGATATTAAATGGTAGCAGCTATAACTTTTATAATTGCCAATATTAACAGTCTTGTTATTTGGAGTCCCTGGGTGATGCAAACAGTTAACGCTCTCAACTGCTAACCAAAAGGTTGGAAATTGAAGTCAACCCAGATGTGCCTTGGAAAAAGGCCTGATTTCCATGAAAGCAGTCATTGAAAAGCCTATGGAACACTGTTCTACTCTGACACACATGGGATCGCCATGAGTCGGAATTGACTTGATGGTAATTGGTTTCTGGTTTTGTTTTGTTTTTTTTCCTCTCATTATTGTTGCTATTATTCCATACTCACATGGATATATAACTCTTGTTTTGGTATAGGCTGCTCTCATACAGGTTTACTGATATCGCTAAGGATATACTCATATTCAGCTGTCTCCGTGGGAAGATGAGAGATACTGAAGAGGTAGTCATCTAGCTGAAAGTTGGGGAAATGAAATAGAGTAAATCAGTACATTTTAGGAAAATTTACAAGGAATATTAATCTTAAGTAACTGAAATTTTGAAACTGTGTAAATGAAATAATTATATATAACATAAGGGTAAACATAGAAGGCACAACTTTTGAATGATTTCATTAAATAAAATTCTACTGATTTCTAAGAATGTTTCACTGTATTCATGGTCTCTTTTGTCAGATTTTTAAAAGTAAGGATGTATTAAATATTGTAATGAAGATCAGCAGCATACTGGGCCATGCGTCCACAATGTGAATAATGCACAGTTACGCACCACCTTGGCCCAAGACAGCAGTGTGAAATACTGACAGTCTTGCTGCTTTTCTGTCAAACAGAACTGGTTCTCAAAAGTAAGCTGAAACGTTCTCCTGCAGACTCTAGTAAGAAAACTTGGTAACAGATGAAGTAGTTATCTTACCCCAGGAGGATTTACATTTTAAAGGCTTTTACTGCTTTACAATAGAAGTCAAAATTTTCCGTTTTGTCCATAAGCAGTGTTTTTAGCTTTTTAAAATGAGTCACCAATCATAAATTAGTTGTTTCGTATAAATATTCTAACCTAGCTTAATCATCAGCTCCTGCCACGCTGGGTCTGCGTTCACTGTGGCAACAGTCAAAAAATCTGTTGCCCCTTCTAGAGGGGAGCATCCCTCCACCCACATATGCTCGTTTGAGTTTGCTATCTGATTCCTGTGGATCTTGGATGTTTTGACATCTTTCTTAAAGTCAAAAAACCCAAAACCCATTGCAGTTGAGTTGATTCCGACCCTTGGGGACCCTGTGTGTGCAGAGTAGAACTGCATTGCATAGGGGGGTTTTCAAAGCTGTGATCTTACAGAAGTAGATCACCAAGGCTTTCTTCCAAGGCACCTCTGGGTGGCTTTAAACCGCCCATCTTTCAGTTAATAGTCAAGGGCTTGTCCATTTGTACCACCCAGGGACTCTCTTAAAGTCAGAGAGCTTCTTT